TGTAGGGCACGTATGTAAAACAAAAAGTCAGTAAGATAGCTTGCATCTGTGGGCTTTGTTTTCCAACTAGAAACGCAGATTAGACATGTTTGAGAGTGAGCTTGTACTCCTTTTCTAAGTGGATATGCTGCACTATTGCAGGAAGGGAGAAAACCTCATATTCTTGAGGCTGGACTCAGGCAACAAGATCACACTAGCAGGAACTTTATAGCACTCTTTCAAACCAGTCTTTATCAAGCCATCAGGATAAATGGAAAGACTATTTCCAACACTGCACTTCTAAAAATTGTTCTGGTGGTATGTTTGGGTTAAGGTCTTCTTCAAGCTCTTCCTGAACTGAAAAATTCCGATACAAGTCTCATGCCCAACCACCAAGTTACAACCAGCAACATCGTATTAGACAAAATTTGCACCTTTCATACACACATGGCGTAACAGTGTGAAACCCCTATTACATTTCCACTATCAGCAGTAACTTGCTTACAGAAAGTATGGGAAAACAGACTCAGACTGCCTTTATCCACTACAGCACAGTTTCAGAGGTTAGAAATGATTTTAACGTGCAGCTAGTCAGAATCCCACTACGGATTACCATATTGTCCACTTGTTTAAAAAGAAAAAAAAAAAAGAGAGAGAGAGAGAGAGAGAGAATAAAGCTGAATGTTTATACATGCAATACATGTATTAATACAATCAGAACTTTAATAGCAAACATCTCAAAGTCATTAAAAATATCATTACATACCTGCGTTTGCTTGGGATAACTCCAATTTCATCACTTTCTCCATCTGGAGTTACCTGCCGTGCCTGCCACCATTCATCATCAGAAGCATTAATGACATGGAGAATATCGCCAAATTTAAAGTTCAGTCCTTGACTTGGAAGGCCACTGTCTTTAGTCTTGTCATAATCAAAGAGAGCTCTACATCGACAAGAAAAAAAATTAAACATTAAAAAAGCAGGAACAAAATAGGAGAGTATCAATTACACAAAATTTGAAATAAGCTGTGTTGTTTAAATGTGGCTGCATCATTTGGACAGTTGCTTAAGACACAAATGCTGAATACTCCCTCTATCTAATATACAAACAGAGAATACAAATATAAACATACAGTATCTTCCAGTGTGTGGGTATATATACACATACACACACAATGTATGTTTTAATAAATGAGAAGAACAAATCTGGCCCAGAGCAGAAGTCTAGTACTTTGCAGAAAGTCAACAGAAATAGATGCCTTCTGCAATTTAAATGTGTACTTTGCCTAGAGAAAGTTACATGTGAGCCTGGGGTGGGAGGGTGGTGGGCAGGGGGGGTGGAAGGGAACTAAAATATTTGAAGCTTTTTGACACTATTGTCAAAAGTTCCATAGTATTTGTTGATTTACATCAAATCATAAGTCAGAATTATTTTAGTAAATTAAAAAAAAAAATCAATTCAAAACAAAGTCATTCTCTTGCGCAAAGAGCTGCAGGAAAAAAGCACAGAAATACGACCGAGCACAGCATAGCCACTGCCGTACCAGAAGGCAACTGCAGATAACCTTAGGTGCATTCTTTTGGAAAACTCCCTACCATTTCTCGGAGAACCTCATGATTTTCTGGGCACTAGCAATGGGCTAGCACTGGGCACTAGCAATACCTGAGCACCAGCTGCATGGCTATGCTTTTATTAACTTTCCTTTTGCAAGCAAGGTTGGTTTCTGCAGGTTCACTGTTAGCCATATCCCCATTCATTCAAGCCTTCTACTGCTTCCTTTTTAGTTACGATAGCACAACTGCCAGGAAAGGCACAGGGTAAGGCATACTGGGGAACAAATCTGGGTTAAAACTGTTTTCTCCCTAGTGGGTTATTTTAAATCTTGATCAGGTCCTGAAGGGTCTACAGCACATTTGCCCCAGCACAACAGAGAGTTTAGTGAGGATGTGGAAACGAACAATGCCAGGAACTTTTTTTTTTTTTTTTTTTTAAATTAAACCCTGCAACCATAAGGGATGCTCCAAAAATTATACCTTATAAGGGAGTCTTACTTTATTTTTGAAACAGGCATATGAAAAGATTTTAAAGTGAGAAGTTTCTATACGACACAGGCCAAAAAATCCTTAACTCATTACTTCATCTGCAAGCTTTGTCAGCGACACACTTTCTAAATGATATCCTATCTGGATTTAGAGACTTGATACCAAGCCCACCACAGTCTTAGGAAAGTTGTGTCAGTAGATCACTATTATGCTATGATTAAAATGCTAAAAAAGCTGTCTGTCTTGTCCAAATTTGGTTAATTTCTTCTTCCTTAATACTATTCTAATGTACCTTTTCCTCCTAGACTTTCAAACTCGCAGAATTTTCTTTTACGTATGCAAGTATCTGTCAGTCATGACTATGTTTGCTCTAATCTACATTTTAGTTTTGTGAATTTTGCCTTTCTAAAGCACTGAGTGTATTACTTTGATTGAGACTGTATTTGTTCATAACTAACAAAAATTATATGCTTACAATGAGGCAACTGAACATTTTCAGTCAGATAATTCATCTTTACATATTAGCATACAGTCTACTGCAGCCTCAGAGACGGTTGCGATACCCGTCTTTTGCGGGTCACAAGAAGTGTCAAAAGTTTTTCATTGATTTCAGTTAATCTTTTTAATGCATCATGAAAACTAATTATTTCATGAGGGTGTTTTTGTTAGCATTTAAGCAACGATTTCCCCCCAGCACTGCTTTTAAGATTAGTTTCAATATAAACTTATAAGAGAACTGCTCTGGGCCAGAAAGCATTACTCCTTGTGTTTATTGCATGGGAAGATAAGAAAATTATACAAGAGTGAAATCTCAAAAGGACACAAAAGGATAAAAAGCACTTAATATTAGAAACATATACCCTTCCGACTACATAAACAGCCACACAGTTAGGCTTTGCATAATGAAAAGCAGTTTCATCACATACATTTGCTCTGTCAAGGTCACTGCAGGAAAAGCAATTTTACTGGGGAAAAAAGTAAACGTAGATAAACATATATTAGGATGTCACACAGCAGTGACAAAATTACGCAGCTAAAAATTACAGAAACATCAGAAACTGGTAATAACCAGATAAATCAGCCAAATGACAAATAATTAACAAAAAACTTTTTTTGTTCCAACTGTTTATATATAGATGGCTTTTTCCATATGCCTGGAAAGTGGAATGGGAACTAATTTCACACCTAGGACTACGTATTTATCTACGTTACAAAAGTATTTAAAATATCTGCTCTTGATCAACTCCCATATGGAGACTTATTACAGAAGAGCAATACTACATACGCCTTTATTTCATGCAAGTTACAAATGCAAACACAAATATATTTAAAAATAAAATTGGCAAATATTCACCCTATCATTAAGTTTAAATGAGAAGTCCTAAAAATTACTTTAGGCAAAGCATTAAGTCCTCTCCGGTTATAACTCTACAGAAATTGAAGCTAAGTTAAATCAACAAGTTTCATGAATGCTTATGTTTTAAAATCAAGGATTCAATGGCTGTGTTAACATTGCCAAATTTTCCAGAATATATTTTTTTAATCTCGTCGTGTTCACTACTTTCAATATCATCAATTTTTGATTAAGTTTTCCTGAAGCATTACTAACTTTAGGGTATTCTTGCTGAACAAAGGAACTAGTGAAACCCTGCAACAGCAGAAGTATCCCTATGACATATTTTGTGAAACACGAACTAATCTTACCGTTTTAGAAAAGAGCAGATCAACTTATAAAGGAATTTCTCTTTTTCTCCCTGATTATTTTGGGAAAGTGGTTTGAAACTAGATGTTTGAAGTATCAGAACTATGTAGAGATGTGCAATTGTACACTTCCTGTAGGTGAGCACACATTCCAGGCACGCTGGTAATACGAGGCCTTATTTTTCAATGGATTTAGTTAAAATTTCGTAACGATTTCATTAAGAACTTCATTGTGAAGTTTCTTCCACTTGGAGATGTAATCACCTTCTATCCTCATTCAAGCAGAAATCGGCATCATTGTTTGAATTTGTAATGTGTCATGCTGGTTACAAAAATGCACAGATGAACATAACTTTCATATTTGAATACTAAATACATCGCACAGACTGAGATTTGACATAGAAGATGAGATAAAATACGGAAAAAATTTCCTCTCTGACAACATACTACCAAAAAACTTGACATACAATGACTGAACCTCACTTTTGCACACGCGCTTTATGAATTTGCAGCTGAAGGAGGTGAGCATATAGAGTGAACTCAGATGCAAGAATGGAAACATTCAATGAGAAAATGTCTCTCCTCTTAGAATAAAGATCAAAAGAATTACTAAAAAACAATCAGAAGGACATTAACTTAGTGTATCTTAATTAGTCAATGGAGAAACAGAATTAGAAGTGCAAATTAAGAGTTGCTGCTGAGTTGCCATATTTGTATTGTCCTCCAAGGACTGTTATAGTGCTATCATATATTGAGATCTATGCAATTAAGAAGAAAAATCCGCCACTTCAAATTGTGTCTTCAGTGAAACACAACTGTCTTTTCCCTAACGTTACATAACACCCCCAAAACACAGTCTACAAGCAGGCTACTTCATAAAGGTATCACATTTCAGTTATGGAGAATCAACGATGTATCTGATTTTGCTTGCTGTTGTTATGATAATTTTGAGAAATCACCACACATTATTACACAGAGTATTTGATTTAAGTGGTTTTCTACACCTGCAGTTGTAGAAATACAAACACTTTACAGTTGGATTTACCACTCAAAATTCAATTCAGCATTATGTTTTATAACTCAAATCCTTTGAGGTACATCCAAAAACAAATATTACAGAAAAAAGTTACTAAAACTGGCTAAATTAAAAATAAGGAATAATCATACGAAAGTGGCTTAAGGATAGGAATAACTGAGGTAACTATTATGTTCTCACACTATCTACCAATATGCGCAAAGCCTCATAAAAACCTCTTATTTCAGTGAGGTCAAAATCGGATAGAATAGACGTGAACCCATCTTGCGTCTACCAACTTGCCTACCAGTCTCTGGCAGTCCTTCTAGTGGTAAGGTGACAAGAGCAGAGCTCAAAACACCTAGCAGCACTCTCTGAAAAGGGATGTGTGGAAAAGTCCTTTTCATAGGGAATTCCTGCATTTTAGATTTTCATTCAGACTTCTAACAAAACTGATTTCCAAATCTCAAAACCTATCTTAAAAATGGAATCACCAATTCCCACAAGGCTTCTGTCAGAGTTTGGAGAAGTTTGTATTTCCTGCAACTGGCAAAGTCAAAAGCCTATCCTCAATCACTTACAGATAACGATTAGTGGAATGAAAACTCCATAAACACAAGAAGGCTTGTCAGTGGCTTAAAATACCATATCAATGTGTAAACCTAAATGTAAGCAGTTTAGAAGCTAATCAAGTTTAACCAGAGTACCTTTGCTTAGCAGATTCAGAGAAGCTGATCAGGACTAAAAGATTCAAGGCAAAACACCCCAGCTGCCTAAATCAATCTAAATCTGAGCTGCTGTGTTACCATCCTCCCTTCCACCCACAAGATGCATTTGCCGGTACCAGCAGCAGAGTTTGCGTGGCTGCACAGCGTACCAGTGGGAGGTGATTTCTGTGAAACACCCCACTTTCTTGTGGTTGATATCAGTTTTCTAGATTGGCTTAATTCTGGGCCTGCACAAACCCAGAAGCAGAGCAAGAATGTGCGTTTTGGAGGTAAGCTGGGAAATGGGAAGCGTAATGGTGAAATCACAGCACTTCACAGCACTTAGATTAAGAGAAGTTACTGTGTTAAGTACATTCTTAAAAATTTTCCTTCGACGTTCAAATCTCTCTTTTGGCTTCTAAAAAATCAACTCCGCTTAACAAACTGTTGCACTGAATATTTATATTATAGAAGTAAAAATTAAACATTTTAAACAAATTGAATTTGACTTGTAAAAATTTTTTTCCTAGAAGTCTGTAATCATCTGAAAAGCGGGAAACTAAGACTTACACAACGGAAGAACTGACTGAAAAAACAGTCAATGCTTCAAGCAGCTTCCCATTATTCACAGTAAGACTTAAGTTTTCACCAGCATTTCTTTTGGTGGCAAAACCAGTAAAAGCAGCTCCCCTTCATACCCCGGGCTGCCCCCTCTTGTGGAAGGCACCTTGCTTGCACAACGATCAGTGATAGGTTACATGCATTTCCTCTGGCTCAGTTTTCTGACTTGTTTCACCGCACGGCCCCGTAAAGAGTTTTCAGAGCACACCGGGAAACGGAAACTGTTTGAGGCAGCTCTCTCAATGGAAAAAGTCAATAACACCTCAGCCCAAGATTTTAGCAAGTACGCCAAACAGCGAGGTCCTACACATTTTTAAACCAGCCCAACACCAGCACTGCTGAGGTCTTACCTCTGCTGTTCGTATGGCCTAGCCTCTTCCATGAGCAGGTTCGGGGAGCTGAACTAGGAGTAAATGGCTCACCTTTTTTGTGTTACATGAGGTGACTAGCTGGTAGTTTGCTCACTTTACATTTTGTTAATGATAGTTTAAAAAAAAAAAAAAACAAAAACCTGTCATTTTAAACCCTTTTAAAAGATAATTACTCAAAAGAAATGTGTTACTGAAGAACAAGAACATATATTGTTAATATATTCATATATTAGCACATAACTCAAATAAAACCTGTTTTTAAAAAAGGCAATCCTTTTTCCCACATTCCATACTTCAGATGTTACGCATTATTAGTACACAGTAACTGATATAGGAGTCAGGTTGCATATTAAGGAGCTGCATCGTGCCACACATTTCTAGGGAAACTATTTCTTAATTGTTTCATGCTCTTGTATAGTTCCATTTCCTTCTAGCCTCCTTTACGCTCAATTCTGTATGAATAAATGAATGAGGAATATATTCACATTAGATTAAAGGGTTTTTCAATGCATTTGCTCTCTTGGTTGTCATGGAAATTTTGCCATAACAAAATGCTACCGGTTATAGAAATAATATTTCTTAATACAAGCTGGAAATACAACTAAACCAAATTGAAGGAAATAAACTGGAAACTGAAAGTGTAAGTAAAGGGAGATTATAAATGTGAACTGATGAACTGAACAAAGGGTAGAATATGAAGACAACCCAAGACGCAAACCAAATTAAGCAAATTGTTAAAAATTCATTTACTCTGACTTAAAAAATAAAATAAAATAAAATAAATACTATTTTGTTCAAGTGCTGTTATTACCGAGAGATAGGACAAAAAGCAAGCAATAGCACAGCTCTTCAAAGTTCATACACGGCTCGCAGGGCTACTACTTCTTTTTCAGCTATGTTACACTAATCATAAACCCAATTAAGCTTAATTTTCAGTATATCGGCATCATATTGATATAAGTTTGTTAAGTTCAATAAGTGCTTAAAAACTCTAATACAGAAACGTCCAGTCTATCAGAAAGCAGACAAATATGGCGAAAAAGATGACTACCTGACATATAGGGATCTCTTCTGGCTGGTTCGCAAAGATCCTGATCCTGAACTAATGCTACTGTTCATCATCTGTTCCCGTAAATCATGTATTTTAGCTTCAAAACGACTGTATTCTGTAAGAAAGGGAAGCACTGTGATTAATTTTCCCTGAATTTCAGCAATTATATTATTCACACAAACGTCGAAAATCTAAGAAATTAAACATGTTTAATGTAAGGAAAAAAATCTGAAAACCCAGTACTTTTATTAAGCACCACCTTTTGTGATTAAAAAAATCTATTCCAGCTTTTTACATTTGTCAACATAAACTGAAATAGAATTTGAACGAACTATGACGAGATATAAAGCAAAAACACAGCAAAATATCCATTAAAGATTTCATGTTTTTCAATTTATAGTTTACATTAACTAATTTTTTTCTAATTAAGACAATTTAGCTTACAATTATCATTTTCATAGTAATAAAAAGACTGATATATTTTATCTCATGACAAAAGAAAACAACAGAACATATATTTGAAACACATATGTTTATCAAGAACAACAATGTATTTTAAATGTAAAAAGTGGCGGTTAAGAATCTGAAAAAACAGCACTGAATAGATACTTTGGACTTTAATCAGATAAAGAATTCAGTACCACAAGGTGGGAAATATGCAAAACATTTTCTGAATAAGACAATGTTCCCATGGGATCTTAAGAAAGGATAAAAATGCAGAATTCTGGCACGAGTCTCGATCCATCTGTAAACGGCATTAGACATTCAAACTCCTTTCACATTATTATGTACAGTGCTAATCCTAGAAAAACGGATTGTGTTCTTAAGCAGCACTGTGTACTAATAAAACTAAGCTAAATGCATTTGATTTTAGATATAAAAACAGGCAAATAATAAAATAGTAAGAGCTTCTTCAGGAAAAAGATTTCCCGAAGGGAGGTACTTACATGCTGTCAGCATAAAATATGAACTCAAAACACGTAAATTTTTCTTTCAGTTGAATAGTTCAGGATCAAGAGATCTACTTCTAAAAGCTTTCTAGTTAAAGAAACGCTCTACAGCCACCACCTTCTCCAGGAGACCACGTGATGCAAGATTATAACAAGTCAACATTGGGAGAGCCCGGGTGTGTGCAACAAGCAGCTGCTCAACTGGATCAGTTTTTGCTGTTCTTCCTAGCTGCACCCTCATTCCCTGTGGGCATCAAATTTACGCTGGAAATGGAAGACTGAAAGAGGGCTTTAAAGTGCAAAAATCTCAAGAAAATCTCTAAACTCAGGTTCTTTTAACAGTCACGTTAAACACCATGAATGACTGATCATATCACATGCTGGAGTCCTTTCTACCCATAGACTCGTGAGACAGCAACGACAAACACTTGTAGATTAATCGGAGAGAAAGAAAAAAAATTACTTGAGTAGTAAGAGTATGCCATGGACTAGTTTCTGATGTATCATCATTTTATTCATCAACTTAACTATAAATCTGATGTCCTAGCAATAACAGTTAATAATTAACCCTATCCAGATTATGACAATACGAATGGTTTCTTCAGTTGTCCTGACTTTGGTCCTTCAAAGCCACAAGCTAGTAGTTTTTAACATAGCATCTTAGTTTTTAAAATATCATCAAGTGCCTTTGTACAAATAAAGTCCAGGTGAAATAATTTATACCAGCACTAATCCAGACTGATGAAGTTGTTTGAGAAGAAAAATAAAAACATCATTTCCACCACTACTGACACTATCGCTAATATAGAAAGCATTCAAGATGACAGGACGGTACTCTAACAGGTAAACGAGACACTTTTTAGAACATAAAATCTTAGAGGAAGGGCCCAGACGCAGACAGAACAGATTCTATTCCTGCTTTGCTACTGCTGCACTCTGTGGCCTTGGTCACTTCATTTTACTGTACTTCTCACCTTCCTCACAGCAGCTGGTCCTAATTATTTAGACTGTAAACCCTCAGAGAGGGACACCTTTTATGAAGGATAATCTGAATAGGATTTCAGACAGTGCTTGCATAACTGCAGTTAATTTATACACATGTGTATGCTCATATTATAACCCTGCTTAACAGCTGTTGCCTCCTTTTCACAGCTGAAAGTTGTATAACAATGACTAAACGGAAAGCAATTTCATCTTAAAATGACAACAAAGCAAGCTATCTGCTTATCAGGAAACAGATTCCAAAATATCATCTTCATACAGGACCAAGTTAGACATACAAAAAATTTCCATGCAGTTTCCTGAGATACTGCAGGTAGGGCAGGCGAAGCAAAAAACCACTTCTCCTCTTTTCCCTAGTTTCTCTTCCCAAACAAGGTGCACCCACATTCCGAACAGCTGGAAGCCTGATACCTAAAAGCAAGGGAGAACGTAGCGCTAGTCCTTACGACTAGAGTGAAGGCTGCCTAGAACTAGGTTTTCTAACATCCTAAGAATGGTCAATTGTGAATATTGTGGGGAGGATGCTTATTAATTTTTAACCTATAAATTCACTGAAAGTAATTCGAACCAGTGCTTCACAAGCAAAACCTTTACTTTTTAATGTACTGATGTTTTCTGACTAAAAGATAGCTTGCCCCCCAATTCTTAACCTGCTCGAATTAAAACAACAAATAAGTTAGTAAACAAGGCAGAATGTTAAGAGCTTCCCACTCCCAGTGCAGCTTGCTTCACAGGAAAAAAAAATTTCTGTTGATTCTGCAACAGGTATTATCTTTAATTTCTCACATGCACACATAAAAAACAAGTGCAAAAACGTGTGTGTCTTAATTTCATTCTTCTTACCAACCACAAAAACCAGAAAACCAACACAAAACATGAAACTATCATGGAGAAATCTGCTCATTTTGGAGCGCAGCTAGACAGATGGTTTGGGTTTTACTCTGGGACTCAGAAGACCAGAATTTAATTCCCTGCAGTAATTTTTTTTTCCTGTGATACTGGCCACGCTTCATTTTCCTTCTGGCCTTGCCAGATTCCTGTTAGCAAAACCATAGTAATTCTATTCTATAAAAGCTCTTAAGCAGCACGTATCATTGCAGTTCTGAATTTTTTGCAGTAGGTAGTAAACTGTATCGGTCACATCATCGCAGGTAACACTCACCTTTCTTCGCCCACTATCTCTCAGGAGAATGATACAGACAAACTTGTATTTGTGAAGACCTTTGTTGCTTGTTTTACATGAATACACTACTCTGGTCACTAAAAAAGTTACTATCAAAGCAATATATCTTTCATTGGGAGCTGGAGGTGGTTGGGTCTACAAACATTATTTGGTTCCTGGGGAAGTTTTCAGACTGGCTGCCAGGAAAGCTCTGTTATGTAAATGTGAACTTAGCTATCATGGTAAAGAGTTGCATTTCACCTGAGGAATGATCTTTTAAGTCTTTTACATCTTTTTCTTTTTCTTTTTTCTTTTTTTTTTTTTTTTAAGATTAAAGTGCTAAGCTCTAGACAAACTAAATGAATTGGATAGCTTGGATTTCTAACATAAGAGACTTTTTCTACGCGAAAGTTAGCATGGAAAGCTTTAGACACTTTCTTGTGCTACAGCCTGTTCAATATATTTTAAAACACCTGCAGTTTTTTGCACCATCAGAAAAGACTACCAATTTCTGTTAAGAAAAAGTCATGTCTCATCTATTGGAAGAATCAGATTTCCTCTGATGTAGTGGATAAGACAGCATTTACATGGGAAGCTATTCCTTACTACTGCCCAATTCTACTTCATCCTCCATATTATCTTCAGGTTGCTGTTGCTTTCCAGAGTAATTCAGTTTCTGTCAGACCTCCCGGGAAATCTGCAGCAGTAAGGAGGAGAATAATTTCTACAGAGGGGCTCCTGGCATACCAGTAAAGCAAACAAGGAAACTAATGGGCTGTGACTCAGAGGTTCTAATGTTTGAAAAGAAGGGGTACCAAGAAATGCCATATTTAGGAGAAGCTTAAAGCAACTCTGTGCAGATGGAATCTGGTGAGTCCCTTTAAAGTTTGTTGATGTAGAACAAGCTGAGCTATCAAGCTGAGATACTCCTGTTAGATGAGTTCTTGGGGAAGAACAGGATGGACAGATAGCTCAAGCAATCACTGAGTTTGGAGCCAAAAACTAGGCAGGATTTTCCTCTTTAAAGTCCTGGGGACTTGGATATTAAATACAGTGGTACTGAAACTAATGCTGGAATTGGAAAATTAGACAACAGCAAGACAAGATAGCATCAGAAAATCAGTATCAGGGTGGTACCCAGAGGATCAGTGCCCATCCCTGTTGTCAAATGGATGCACTGCATATAATTAGACATGGTTCAGCTTGGGCGTGATGAAGCAAAGGGTGAGCTCTGCTAATCTGTCTAGGAGAGGTCGTATCTACCTCTGTGACTGAGAAGAGTTGGATATCAGTTGTCTTCAGCACCTTCAATTGAATAAAAGAACACTGACATCATCTGGTAGTTTATCAAATGTAGAAAAGTAATTGCAGGAGAGCAGGCAGAAGAGTGGCCACAGCTGCTCTGCCTAATGTGCGCTAGAGAAGGGGAACACTGACAGCAAGCCGCTGGTGGCAAGACTGGAATCTTACACCTGAGACTTGTACCATATGGATCCGTATCCACTTGTACCAATGTGATTCATATAAAATACAACTTTATTTCATTTTACAAACACATCCAAAATCCCTACACCTGTATGTTTTTAATCAATCTCTTAGGAATACCTTACTGCTTATTAAATACGAAAAAGATGGCAAGAAATTGCAGGGAAGTAGTATCAAATTTATACTAATGAAAGACTTAACATAATGGCTATACCAGGCATAAACGACTTAGTAAGAAACCCCCCAGCTAACATGACATAAAAGCAGAAGTACTGGTAAAATCAAAAGGGCCAATCTTAGCTCAGTGCTTGTGTCTCACACTAACCAATTAGTAAGTATTTACAGAAAATTATGATGACTAGGCAAGCACTGAGGGATACCGCTCCCTCAAGTACTCTCTTAACCTGCAGTACTTTAAATATTTCCAGTATGTCATTCACTGTGTGTTTAAATTACATATTTCACTTGCTTTATCATCACTAAATTCCCCCCGAACACTAGAAAATTCTTTTTTCT